AGCCATAGTTAAAAGGTAGTGGATTTCAGTTGAAATATTGTACCTGAAGCCATGGGTTCCCACCATTGGCGCACCATGCTCCTGGTTCCGAATTTAACAGCGCCTTCTCCGTTGAGCATAGTGGGTCATAGTGGGTGGAAGATGCTGTAATCGTGGCGGCGGCATTTTCCATGCCAGAGGGCTGCACGCTACACGACTCTGTAGGGATTAACCCTGCGTTTAGAAGCTATTGCATTTAAACACACACGGAGACAAAAAGACAGACAGAGAGAGAGAGAAAAAGAGGGTGAGGGCGGTGGAAAAAGAGAGAGAGGGAGTAAGAGAGATGTCAATATTTATCACGAGCGAGGGCAAGAGAAGGATTCTTATAAACTAAAGTGCTCCAACAGCGTGTTTCCCAAAAAAGACATAACTGCAAAAATATGTGAACATGACCGTCTTACCAACGTTAGTTAGCATGACTAGTAGAACAACCAAACAAATCATGGTGTTGGCAACGTTGTCCGGCATGTTGTGACATTTCTTTCTGTATGGTCTGGTGTCTGATTGACAGCTCCCTGGTGACACAAGCCGTTTGTGCCCGTTCATCATGTAACTGACCTTAACAAAGAATCTAAACGTCATTAGTGAAACTGCACTCTAATGTTTCCTCTAGATGTCAAAAGTCTTTTCTGATGACGCACAAGCTTTATTTCGTTCTTGTGTTTAACTAACTATATTTTATGTATTCTATTTCATTCAGGATCAAAATATTACCTCATAACATGATAATAATAGGTGTTATCACATTTGACACAAGACCAACGTAATCAGAATGTCGAAAATATTAACTGTGATCAAAGTTGTGAAGTCAGATCTTAGCCGGGTCCGTTTAACCCCCATGACGTGTAACGTGCCATGTTATTATTTACTGGTTCCAACATAAAGAACGGACATCTAATAGTATTTTGATCCGAGCCCTCCCGGGGATTCTGTGTTTACCGCTGCTCCACATAAGAGTCACAATTGAATAAGCTGAAGTCGATTGTCAGCATTTAATTAGGTTAGAAAGAGTACTAGTCGGTGCTTTTTTGGGGTAATAATTGACTTTGAATAAGCTACTACTTTGAAAGAATCTGGAGGTAACTTTATTTTCAACCATAAGTAAAAATGCGAGTTTAAGATGGTGGCAAATTAAGTTTATTTGAGAAGAACCAAACAGATCTAAGGTTATATGAGGACATGTTATTTGACAGGAGTAACATGTAGGAATGTCACAAAGGGGCAGTACTGTGCTCTGAATTATGCTGGTCAAAAATGTTATAATAAAATAAATATTTTAGTAATTATATCAGTATTTTTACGACTACATGTACCAAAATATAAGGCTATTTCGTACAGCTTTACTCAATTTTGTGTTAGTGCTACTGTTTATGTAAGTTTATTTATTTATTGTCTTCGTCAGAAGGACTATGAAATTGTCTCGCCGGAGTGTGGGGAACTGCGGATTTTGCAATATAACTCTGAAAAGCATGATTCGACGTCCATGATTTTTGGCAGGCAGATTACCATTGTTAAGGCCAAAGTCAAGTACAAGTTTCGGCTTCGTGGGGGGTCCTTGCGTCACGTAGGTGCACCTTTTGTGTTTGTGGCTTGTTAGCAAAATAACTCAAGTATTTGTAAAATGTTGATTATAATTCTTGGTGTGGTGCTTACTATTGTTGGGACCAAGGTTAAGTTCGTTACTGAGCTTCGTGGGGGGTTTTGTTGTGACTACAGGGGGGATTTTGTTAATTTTTCTTGTGAGCAGGATAACTTTTGTATGTGTGGATGGAAGTTAATGAAATTTGATAGGCATGTTACTGTGGTGGTCTCCAAGATTGAGTTCAAAGATGAGAGTCGTGGAGGTCGTTATGTCCCCGTAATAGATCTTTTGTGTTTGTTTGTTTCTTTGTTTGTTTGTAGTTCAAGTACCGATGTGGCATTAGTCTAGATTTTTGTATGGTGTAAAGGTATTGTAATATAAATTTTGTGGTGTAAGTTTGAACTCTTTTGTTTTAGAGGAATGTGGAAAAGAAGTTATATTGTTCTTATTTAACCCTCAACAGAACACCTTCCCGGACTGATTAATCTGTACACCTGGGGTCCGCGCGGACCCCAGAGCAGTTTTTTGCTAATTTTTAGAAATTATCAACATGCTACCAGCTCAATTGTTTTGCAAACTGATGTGGGAACCTCTGTGTCCACATTACATACAAAAATCATACATTTTGAACTTTTTCTATTTTTTGGTGAAGAAAAGAAGACATGAAGAAATACCCGATTTTTAAACCCATTTCAGACTGAAGGGGCTTTTGAGGCCCAACTTTGATCTCAGATAGCGGCTAAACGGCTTGCGCTAGAAGTATCAAATTTGGAGACCTTTCCTAAAATGTCTCTGGAAAAAAGTTCATATTAGTTTTATACTAGTAAGTTGATGTTTTTTTGTGTTGCCATGGCAACGGGTAGTTTTTTTGAAAATAGAAGTAATTTTGGTTTTAACATAAAAATTTTCTGAGTTTTATATAAAATTACACTTCTTTTCCAACATTAATAACATCTTACATAATTAAATATAAGTTAAATCATTTAATATGCATAGAATATGCTAATTTGATGACGTCATTGGTCAAAATCCAATATGGCTGACTATATTATTAGCTCTGACGTCATATGACGTGATAATTACACCAAAGTTATTAAAATTTAATTCTATTACTACACCATTCTCTGAAAAACTTGGTAGACATACGATGAGTGCATAAAAACATATAAAAACGGAAATAAGGTAATGTATAAGAACGCCAGTGTATCCATTATGATCGAAAGCCGGCTGGGGTCCGCGCGGACCCCAAAAGAAAATCAGATATAATTTTTTTTATAAATGGTAGAAACGGAGTTTTCTGCACTGTATTGAGAGACAACTTTGTGGGTGACAATTACCTAAAATTTCTGAAAAAAATCTTTAGAAACAAAAAAGATATTACAGAATATATAGTGCTGGGGTCCGCGCGGACCCCAGGTGTACTGTTTAGAGTTAAGGTGTTGTCTTGTATGTAGGTCAACGACCTTCTGGCCAATTAGAGTAGGACAGCTGTATTGGTTGTGCTCTGTCTTTTATGTAGGTCATCGACCTTATGGCCAGAACAGCTGTCAGCTATATAGCTATCCATGTTATTTGTATACTATTCGGTATTCAGTTTTCTGTCCCTTTTTTCTTCTATTGGTTGGTTATAGGCGCAGTAAGCCTCGTTTGCATAGGATATTTGTGCTATATACATGTATAAGTGTTGTGTGTGCTATCGATGAGCTAGGTTACAGTTGTCAACAGTATTTCTTTAATGGTGGAGTTTCCTTGGATTTCTCGGTGTGGAGACCTCAACTATAGGGTATGTGTTTTCCCCTTTTCTTAAGTTGCGTTTTCCAGTAGTATACCTTGCGTACTAACAGTGAAACGTCAAGAGGTCGGCGTTACTTTGCGTCGCAATATGTAGGATAATGCGTTATGGAAGGTTAAAAAAAATCCAAATTTCTCGGGGGTGCATATTCCCGGACCCATTTTATTGCTTGCGCTTCGGCGCCTGGCGCCCGATGCGCCCTTGCAACTTGCAAAGTATAGGCGCTTTCGTAGACACATTTGGCCGGCCAGGGAACACTAGTGTAAACTTGTTGTCTTATTCAGAAAGACTATGGAATTGTCTCGCCGCATTGTGGGTGACTGCGGATTTAGCGGAATAACCATGGAAGGCATAATTCGACGTCCATGATTTTTGGCAGGCAGATTACCGTTGTCGCCAATGTTGAGTGCAAATTCTGGGCTTTATGGGGGGTTCGTACGGCATGTTAGTGCACCTTTTGTGTTTGTGGCTTGTGAGCAAAATAACTTTTGTATATGTATAAATTGATATTTATCATTTTTGGTGGACAGGTTACTATTGTTGAGACCAATTTTAAGTTTGTAAGTGGGCTTCGTGGGGGTCCCTACATCACTGCAGCGCACCTTTTGTGTTTACAAATAATGACCAACGTCTGCTTGGAGACAGCTGCATTGGGAACCCCATAATGGGATGGGATCAAATAACGAGAGCTGCATTACTATGGAATAAGCTTCCTTGTAAATGCTTTGCAAATGGTTAAACCTTAAACTTTTTAAGTAAACAAATATCTGTCTCCATCAGTACTACCTAGTAACCCAAAACATGAAAGTGCTTCGTATGACCCTTCATATACTAATGTGTTATTCCATTCTAAAAAGTAAATGTTGTACATGTAGATCAACCTGTTGCAAATGCAATATCATGTAAAAATGATCACCTTGTAAGATGAATATGAAATCTAGGATTTGTTCATCAATTGCAGTATTATAATCCTAGAGATCAGCTTGTACCTGAATGTAAAATATCATGTAACTGTTACAATGTATCAGATTGAAATTATATCATATTAGTCAGATTTTAACATTGATTGTATCAAATGTATTATAAATCAATTTACGTTTGTGAAGATTAGTCATCCACGGTTAAAAAATCAATAAAATTGTGTTCTAGAGATTTTTTCACAAAAATTAAATAGTCAAACGTTGCAACATCCTTCATTGGTAAAATGTTTACATGCATATGAATCAAGTTTGTTCCAAAAAATAATTTGCGAACGTCACGTTACAGTTTTTTTCTCTCTTGTATAGACATAGAAACAAACACACGACCATATTTACATTAAAAAACTGTCTCTGGCACATCCACACACTGATGGACACACAGCACGAAAGCGCAGTTTCTTTATACAGAAAACTAAAGCATGCCCTTGCAGCTGAACCCTCGATAGAAATTGTCCGGTGGTGTGTACCTTTACGTGGAAGTTTTTTTTATTTATATACAGTACTAAAAAGACAAATTGGACTCCGCTTATCCGTACGTTTATAAAGGACTGCTGACTGTGTAGAACTGCTGACTGTGAAGGACGATGTAGGAGCCATCCCGTTGTTATGGTGCAGGCTCCACGGCGGCATTGTTCTTTTTCTTCTTGTACATCAGGAACCCGCCTACGGCTAGTCCTGCTCCCGATACAGCCATGATCGCTCCGACCACGCCGCCTGCTACCGCCCCTCCCCGTGCCTCGCCCTTGTTAGCGGCGGCGGATCCTCCCTCCCCCGGCCGGCTGGTGGTTAGCGACGCTTCACCTGACATGGCAGTGGTCACTATGTTAGCATCACCACTAGTTGTAATGGTGGTTGTGCTCACAGACATGGTGGTTGTAATAACAGGCGTGGTAGTTGCACCTGGCGGGGTAGTTGTAACAGCGGGCGAGGTGGTTGCAACAGCAGTCGTGGTTGCTAAGGCAAGCGTGGTGGTTGTAACAGCAGGCGTTGTGGTTGTAACAGCTGGTGTGGTGGTTGTAACAACAGGCGTGGTTGTAACAGCAGGCGTTGTAGTAGTGGCGGTCTCAGTTGTAGTAGTTGTAACTGTAGTGAAAGAGCAATAAACAAGAATGAATTAAAGAAAATAATAATTGTAGATTGATTCTATGATACCCAATGATATGATAAGATGAGATGATATGATATGATATAATACCAAATTAGGATATAAATTTAAAAAAATGACTAAATTCTTTACAGTGACGTAATTCATCAATGTCCGTTAAAATTCACGTAGTCTGATGTGCAATCTGTAGAAAGGGAAAAACACAAGAATTTGAACCTTAATCTTGCAAAGGTATTTTTCGGCATTAGTCGGTATTTTTCATATCTTACAGTGCCTAACAACATTTTAAAGATGCAGATGCAGAAAAACTCCTAAATCCACGAAACACTGGGAGCTTTGTCCCTTTATACCAAAAATATTGTAAGCACATGCAGTCTATTACTATGCAGATATACATACACACGCAGCAATCACATATACATACATAACGTTACATACATACATGTACATATGTATACAAGCATCTACACAGGACCCCCCCCCAAAAAAAAGTACAAATAACGTGTGTGTTACAATGTATGTATTTAGTTTTGTGTGTGTTAAGCGACGCTCACAACCCGCCGTACGTGCTTCTGCGTGCTGTCTACGTGCAAAAACGTGGGCAATCATAGGGCATCCGTGCGTGGTGAGTACCACCTACGTACGAAATCCTACGGATTTGGGAGCACGCAGACACGCCGTAGAACTTTAAGTGCATGTAAAACTTTTTCTACGTGCGGTCTGCGGATTTACCACCCGTGCGTGCGAGTACGTGCGACGCGCGTGCCCCGTGCACGTATGAGCGTGCAACGTACGGACTCCGTGAGTCTAACTTCACTATTTTCACGTGCAATTGATGTACGGACACCGCCTCCCAAAAAAACGTACGGGCAAAAAGCACGCACGGCGGGTTGTGACCGTCGCTTTATGTGTGTGGGAGTGGGGTGGGGCCGAGGGCGTGTCCGTATGTATGTATGTGCGTGTGTGTGTGTGTATGTGTGCGGGTGGGTGTGTGTGTGTGTACGTATGTGTTTATGACATTGTAAGTTTAGACTACACGTTCCCTAGTCACTAGAACATGTATGGTTATGGTTTCAATAAAGGGATTTTACAAGATAACATGAATATCTACCTGGAGCACACAGAAGCACCTCCATTCTCATGCTGGGATGTCCATAGACCGTCTGCGGGTAAAACCGGACAAACCTTGCCGTGACCGGCGGGTCAAGGAAGTGTTCAACTTCGGTGTTCGAGTCGGTGTTACCTGCAAACACCTATTAAGTCAAAGAAAATAATAAAAGCACAAAACAAATAAGTTACTTTTTTTACGATAAAAAGTTCCCAATCTGCTATTTAACGCAGATATGTAGTTTTTTTTTTCATAAGATAGTATATTTTATCTATTTGGGTCATAAAGGGATAATTGAGAGTAATAACTTAATATTTAGAAACACGTTTCTAAACTAAGATTTTAGTTAATGTTACTTGTCTAACAGCAATCTGGATTACATTGTACGAAATATTTACATATCAAAAGAGCTTTATATTCTCCTTATAATAGTAAGCTTTATATTTCTACAGATATTCACATTTTTAGTAGGTTCCCATTAACAAAAAGGTTAGAGTCAATGTGGCTTACAATTTTAGGCCTACTAATACAAGATAACGTCTGTTTCTAACCTTTTCTTGTCCTTGCTCTGAGTATGTTTCCCACACGACGCCATCGGAGCTTAATGCTAGTTTATAGCTGGTCACCCACTGAGAGTACCGGTACCCTCCTCTTCCTTGTGTGATCACACCTGCTACACTAGTCAGTGAATTCAGATCAACCTGTGAAAACCAAATCAGAAATATAACTACAGTTACACGATCCCATACCTTCGCCAAATGATGTTAACCCTTCCGGTTGACGAATTATACAATTTTAATAATTGATTTCGCAAATAAGAGTGCCATTTGCATGGTTTACATCAGTTGATCATATTCTCCATCCAATGACAGCCTTATCTTAACAAAAAGGCTATTCTAGCACTTCCCCATAAATTATGCAAATGAGGTCATAATGAGAATAAATTATCTTCATTGATATTCACCTTTACTTAACTTTCAAATGTGACAAGTATTAAAATTACCAGCATTTACAACTATGAAATTATAGCAATTTTCCATTAGTTATCAAATTAGATCTTCATTTTCATAATAAACTACTTCTATAACCTCAAGACGTTCTTAATTACATGTCACAAGTGTTTCATAGTCCTATTATCATAGTCCTATAGACTGGATCGATAGGATGTCATTGTTAAGGTAGTAGATATAAGTTTAAATATTGTACCTGAAGCCACTGCCCATATGGGTTCACACTATTGGCGCACCATGCTGCTGCGTATGGGTAGCCTGAAGGCTCTTCTTCTGAATTTAACAGCGCCTTCTCCGTTGAGCAGCCTGGATGGGTGGAAGATGCTGTAATCGTGGCGGCGGCATTTTCCATGCCCGACGGCTGCACGCTACACGACTCTGTATGGGAAAAAAACCTGCGTTTAGAAGCTATTCCATTTAAACACACACAGAGACAGAAAGATAGAGACAGAGAGAGTGAGAGAATTCGATGAGAAAGAGGGTGGGGCTGTGGGAAGAGAGAGAAGCAGTGACTCAGAGAGAGATTTCAATATTTATCACGGGCTAGGGCAAGAGAAGGATTCTTATAAACTAAAAGTGTTTCCCAAAAAAGACAAAACTGCAAAAATATGTGAACATGACCGTCTTACCAACGTTAGTTAGCATGACTAGTAGACCAACCAAACAAATCATGGTGTTGGCAACGTTGTCCGGCATGTTGTGACATTTCTTTCTGTATGGTCTGGTGTCTGAATGACAGCTCCCTGGTGACACAAGCCGTTTGTGCCAGTTCATCATGTAACTGACCTTAACAAAGAATCTAAACGTCATTAGTGAAACTGCCCTCTAATGTTTCCTCTAGATGTCAAAGGTCTTTTCTGATGACGCAGAAGCTTTATCACCTTCTTGTGTTTAACTAACTATATTTTATATATTCTATTTCATTCGTTATCACATTTGGCACAAGACGAACGTAATCAGAAAGTATTAACTGTGATCAAAGTTGTGAAGCCAGATCTTACCCTGGTCCGTTTAACCCCCATGATGTGTAACATGCCATGTTATTTTTTACTTGTTCCAACATAAAGAACGGACATCTAATAGTATTTTGATTCGAGCCCTCCTGGGGATACTGTGTTTACCGCTGCTCCACATAAGAGTCACAATTGAATAAGCTGAAGTCGATTGTCAGCATTTAATTACATTAGAAAGAGTACTGGACGATCCTTTTTTGTAATAATTGACTTTGAATAAGCTACAACTTTGAAAGAATCTGGAGGTAACTTTATTTTCAACCATAAGCAAAAATGCGAGTTTGTAAGAAGGTGGTGGTAAATTAAGTTTATTTGAGAAGAACCAAACAGATCTAAGGTTACATGAGGACATGGTATTTGACAGGAGTAAAATGCAGGAATGTCACAAGGGGGCAATAATGTGCTCTAAATTATACTGGTCAAAAATTGTTATAATAAAATAAATATTTTAGTAATTATATCTGATTCAGTATTTTTACGTCTACATGTACCAAAACATAAAGCTATGTCGTACAGCTTTACTCAATTCTGTGTTAGCGCTACTGTTTGTGTAAGTTAAAACCTTCAGCACATTTTAGAACGGGATATAATGCCCCATTTCGAACTTTCCCTGCCAGAACACATTTTGATACTACTACGGAAGCAAAACATTCTTTACTCAATACTTCATATCTCATGGGAACGTACGTTCCACACAGAAATCTTTCTTTTCGGAACTGCATCACTATGGAATAAGGAGTCCTTGTAAATGCTTTGCAAATGGGTAAACCTTGAACTTTCACGGTGGTAAAATCTGGGCTGCAAAGTTGCCACAAGTCATAGAATCCGAACTGTGTTCGATCGTGTTCGATCTGGTCAATTCGAATCGAACACAAGTAGACAAACCTGTCCCCGATGCTAAACAATATCCACACACAAGTAGACAAACCTGTCCCTGATGCTGAACAATATCCACACACAAGTAGACAAACCTGTCCCTGATGCTAAACAATATCCACACACAAGTAGACAAACCTGTCCCTGATGCTGAACAATATCCACACACAAGTAGACAAACCTGTCCCTGATGATAAACAATATCCACACACAAGTAGACAAACCTGTCCCCGATGCTAAACAATATCCACACACAAGTAGACAAACCTGTCCCTGATGCTGAACAATATCCACACACAAGTAGACAAACCTGTCCCTGATGCTGAACAATATCCACACACAAGTAGACAAACCTGTCCCTGATGATAAACAATATCCACACACAAGTAGACAAACCTGTCCCTGATGCTAAACAATATCCACACACAAGTAGACAAACCTGTCCCCGATGATAAACAATATCCACACACAAGTAGACAAACCTGTCCCTGATGCTGAACAATATCTAGACAAAGTTATCACGAGTATATTTACATAAACGTATGTGTCCCATCTGGTGCTAAAACCACCCAAACACAGGAAGCACACGCACAAAAAGCACATGCTCTTCAAGCAGAAAAAAAAAACCGTAAACTACCTTTACAACTTTACACAGCTCACACACCATTGTACTCGACAAAAATCATCCGGTCATCTGTACCTTCATATGGATATCTTTGGTTGATAGAGAGACTGTATATCTGTACCGTGTCTCTACTGTAATGTACGTTTGTGGGGAACTTGTGACCTTTAATGCCGAGAGATCATGTTGTTAGGCGGTGCAGGCTCCACGGCGGCATTTTTTTTCTTCTTCTTCATGTACATCAGGAACCCGCCTACGGCTAGTCCTGCTCCCGCTACAGCCATGATCGCTCCGACCACGCCGCCTGCTACCGCCCCTCCCCGTGCCTCGCCCTTGTTAGCGGCGGCGGATCCTCCCTCCCCCGGCCGGCTGGTGGTTAGCGACGCTTCACCTGACATGGCGGTGGTCTCTATGTTAGCAGCACCACTTGTTGTAATGGTGGTTGTGCTCACAGACATGGTGGTTGTAACAACAGGTGCGGTAGTTGTAACTGGCGGGGTGGTTGTTACAGCAGACGTGGTGGTTGTGACAGCAGGCGTGGTGGTTGTAACAGCAGACGTGGTGGTTGTAACTACAGTCGCGGTGGTTGTAACAGCAGGCGTTGTGGTTGTAACAGCTGGTGTGGTGGTTGTAACAGCTGGTGTGGTGGTTGTAACAGCAGGCGTTGTAGTAGTGGCGGTCTCCGTTGTGGTTGTTGCTGTAGTGGAAGAGCAATGAACAAGAATGAATGAAAGAAATTAATTGTAGATTGATTGTATGATACCAAACGAATTCATGTCAGGTGGTTTAAGGAAAATTAGAAAATTTAAATTAAAAAAAAAAACTAAATTCTTTTCAGTGACTTGATTACTTAATTTGCAATATACATGTAAATGGCAGCCCGCTTAGTGGACGTTTTGAATCAGGTAATAATCATAAAAAAGATGACAATGACGAAAGCGCATACCTTCATGTATCTGACAGATAAATCCTCTTGGATAGTCGCAGGTTCTTGGGTCCCATACAGACAGAGTGGACCAAAACCCTACACAGCCCCAACCGTTGGACTCGTCATTGGGTTGCCAGTTGGAGTAGTCGGATGACGTCAGGATTTGGCCATCGTCAAACACCCACTGTCCGTCTCCATCCGGGTCAGTCAACCCCAGCCAGCGACCTCCCGTCACCGGTTGTAGACTGGCGAGAAAATTATTGATTGCACTGTTCTTGGGCATGGCTAAAACTCCACCGTCAGCCGCACAGACCAGTCTGGCCTCCTCGCGTGTTTTTTGTTCGGATTCCAGAAAGCTCTTGTAGCAATGTCCGTTAAAATTCACGTAGTCTGATGTACAATCTGTAGAAAGGAAAAACAGGAAATTGTAGCTTAACTTAAAGAGTCGTTACTTTTCATATCTTACAGTTCCTAACAAGAGTTTAAAGATCTCTTAAATCCATAAAACACTGGGAGCTTTGTCCCTTTATACCAAAAATATTGTAAGCACAAGTGGTTTTTCGCCATGCAGATATACATACACACGCAGCACACATACACACACACACACACACACACACACACACACACACACACACATATATATATATATATATATATACATACAAGCACATACACACAGACAACCCTCCCCCCCCCAAGTACACATATCGTGTGTCTGTATGTATGTATATGCTTGCATGTATGTATGTATGTAATACTATGTATGTATGTATGTATGTGTGTGTGTGTGTGTGTGTGTGTGAGGGGTGTGTGTGCGCGCGCATGTGCTCGTGTGTAGGTATATGTTCATGACATTGTGAGTTTGTGTGTGTGACAACTCCTCGTCAATGGTAGGTTATCGTTTTCAATAAAGGGATTTCACAAGATAACATGAAAATCTACCTGGAGCACACAGAAGCACTTCCATTCTCATACTGGGATGTCCATAGACCGTCCGCGGGTAAAACCGAACAAACCTTGCCGTGACCGGCGGGTCAAGGAGGTGTTCAACTTCGGTGTTCGAGTCGGTGTTACCTGCAAACACCTATTAAGTCAAGGAAAAGAATAAAAAACACATCAATCAAACAAATCCTTTCTTTGCACTATACATAAAATATAGATATATTTTCACGATTAAAATTCAGCCATTTGCTAGTTATTGCAGATATGTAGTTTATTGGCAAGATAGTAGTTTAAAAAAAACAAACAAAAATAATTTCAAGTGATAAATAAGTATTTGGAAATGCTTTTATGAAATTTAATATTTTGGTGGATGTTGATAATTATATTTCACTTTGAAATATATGTACGATAACATTCATATATATGATAGGAGGTTCTTGGTGTTCTGCACATAATAATCTATTTGTGATGCTTCAACCTCTCTGAAACGTTTCCATAGATATTTGCATTTACATTGATTTAGTTAGGTTCCCAGTATCTTCAAAATGCTTACATTAATGTGATTTACAAGTATGGACTATATGCTATAAGATAACGGTCTGTTTTTTACCTTTTCTCGTCCGTCTTCAGTGTATGTTTCCCACGTGACGCCGTCATTGCTGAAGGCCAGTTTATAGCTGGTCACCCACTGAGGGTGCTCTCCTCTTCCCTGTGTGATTACACCTGCTACACTTTTCAGTGAATTCAGATCAACCTGTGGTAAGGACAAAATCATAAACTATCAATGTAGATATGTGGCATGAAGTCCTGATATAAAACATTCTAATAGAAATAGAAAAACCAAGCATGTTGGATGAATCCCGCCATTGCTCTTTGCAAGAAAAACAAATTGATCTCCAATAGGTCGTAACAAAGAAGACATACGCTATCAACAGTATTTACAGGTTCATTGTACCTGGAATACAAAAAAATACCCCCCTAGCTGTTTTCGACAAGAACAATGAACTAGAAATGACCAAATGTTATATTTGCTGTAGCTTGCATGTCGGGTGAGCAGCAATAGCCGGGATTCAAACTCCCAATTCCTAGGTCCAGAGACAGGGTCGCTAAAAATGGAATACACACGCATACCTCGTACGATTATGCGACTCGAATGTATATAGCAAGCCATAGTTAAAAGGTAGTGGATTTCAGCTGAAATATTGTACCTGAAGCCACTGGCCAGATGGGTTCACACTATGGGCGCACCATGCTGCTGCGAATGGGGTGCCTGAAGACTCTCCTTCCGAATTTAACAGTGCCTTCTCCGTGGAGCAGTGCAAATGGGTGGAAGATGCTGTAATCGTGGCGGCGGCATTTTCCATGCCCGACGGCTGCACGCTACACGACTCTGTATGGGAAAAAAACCTGCGTTTAGAAGCTATTCCATTTAAACACACACAGAGACAGAAAGATAGAGACAGAGAGAGTGAGAGAATTCGATGAGAAAGAGGGTGGGGCGGTGGGAAGAGAGAGAATCAGTGACTCAGAGAGAGATTTCAATATTTATAACGGGCTAGGGCAAGAGAAGGATTCTTATAAACTAAAAGTGTTTCCCAAAAAAGACAAAACTGCAAATAGGTCTGAACATGACCGTCTTACCAACGTTAGTTAGCATGACTAGTAGACCAACCAAACAAAGCATGATGTTGGCAACGTTGTCCGGCATGTTGTGACATTTCTTTCTGTATGGTCTGGTGTCTGAATGACAGCTCCCTGGTGACACAAGCCGTTTGTGCCAGTTCATCATGTAACTGACCTTAACAAAGAATCTAAACGTCATTAGTGAAACTGCACTCTAATGTTTCCTCTAGATGTCAAAGGGCTTTTCTGATGACGCACATGCTTTATTACGTTCTTGTGTTTACCTAGTAGTAACTAAAATAAAAACAGGAGGATATTCTATTTTATTCCGGACCAAAATATTACCTCATTACATGTTAATAATAGATGTTATCACATTTGGCACAAGACCAACGTAATCAGAAAATATTAACTGTGATCAAAGTTGTAAAGTCAGATCTTGCCCTGGTCCGTTTAACCCCCATGATGTGTAACATGTCATGTTATTATTTACTTGTTCCAACATAAAGAACGGACATCTAATAGTATTTTGATTCGAGCCCTCCTGGGAATACTGTGTTTACCGCTGCTCCACATAAGAGTCACAATTGAATAAGCTGAAGTCGATTGTCAGCATTTAATTACATTAGAAAGAGTACTGGACGATATTTTTTTGTAATAATTGACTTTGAATAAGGTCCTACCTTGAAAGAATCTGGAGGTAACTTTATTTTCAACCGTAAGCAAAAATGCGAGTTTGTAAGAGGATGGCGGTAAATTAAATTTATTTGGGAAGAACCAAACAGATCTATAGGGTTAAATGAGGACACGGTTTTTGGCAGGAGCAAGGACATTATACTTGAAGTATAATGTCCTTGGCAGGAGTTAAATATAGGAATGTGACAAAGGGGCAATACTGTGCTCTGCATTATACAAGCCAAAGGATCGTTAGAATAGATATTTTATTAATTAAATCTGTCCTTTTACTACTACATGTACTAAAATATAAAGATATTTCGCACAGTACAAGGAAGGATTTAAACTAATCTACACGACTAAAGTGCTTCAAGCGTAGAAGCTTTCAGACGGCATCCACCATCTTTCTTCAGCTGGCGAGGGCAGTCACGTGAGCCAGGTTCCGGTTGAAAGGTCAGCACAGGTCACGTAATTGAACGAGTGTGTTGTAGCTGTGTGTTGTATTTCGCACAGCTTTATCCATCAAAAATGGACGTTTTGTTTTTGGCATGTCTGTGCGTGTTTGTGTGTGTGTGTGTGTGTTTCTGTCTGTGTGTGTGTTTCCGCAACTATGTAGTCAGCATTCAGAACGCCTTCATGGATTGCGGTGATATTTGTTATGTTGGTAAGTCTCAGGAAGACAAAGTTCAAGGTCAAATACGGGTCTCTGGTTAGCATTGCTTTGCAAATATCATGTTAATGCAGAGATCATTTGCAAAACTAATGAGGATATATTTGAATGAAGTATTGACAAAGGATAGGATTTTACACACAAAATATTGAATATAGAGACACATAAACTAAACAAGGTTATGGTAATTACGACCTTATTTCAATGAGACAAAAAAAATATAAAAAGTCATTTTTACGGAGGTATGAAATCTCCGAATTCTTGTTTTGTGTAAGTGCTACTGTTCATTTAAGTTGAGACTTTCAGCACATTCCAGAATGAGATATATAATTTCGTCAAGATTATGACAGGGAGGATTTAATATGATAAGACCTAATGGTAATTACGTATGAGCTTTCAATTCAGAGGGGCACCGTGCAGGGCACAGCACAGTAATAGGGCTTTCCTATGTTAATATATGGGAGTTTTGTCAAAACAACGTGGTCAACATTCATATACCTGAGTTTTAGACCTTGAAGAACATACATAGGCAGGGTAGGCCAACCTCTCAAGTCTCCATTTCCAAAAAATGACAAAATCCTACGCACCTAAACCATGCGAGAATTCTACCCAAACATTGAGAAGTGACCCCTGACCTCTCTGGACAGCTGATGACCGCATGTAAACCTATATCTTCTTCAGCCAGCCAGACAACACAAACATGTCTGCAAGTCTGTTTTTTCACCAAAATTAAAATACTACAACCCTTACCTATAACATCCAAGTCCAAAACAACAACATTTCCCTAGAAAAAGACTTCTTTACACTCTACATTACATTGCCATCTCTATATACTAAAACTGAGCCCTCTGCGCCTGCGCTATTACTAACCTTTGCCCTCTATCTTTAGCTCTTGACGAGGACGTCACGTGGCAATGGGGTCAAAGGTCATCACAGGTTACGCCATTACTAACAATTTAATATTCACAAGATCTATCTCCCGTCTGATACTGAAAACCATTCACACTCAAGTAAACACACATGCACCCTAATGTTAAATACTCCACGGACTTATCCGTATCAATCACAACTTCCTAATATAAAAACCCTATAGAGGGCTCGTCCTCTTGGTACAATTTTCTAACGGTTGAATATATAAGTTAACAAGAGCTTTGATTAACTATTAAACATACAAGAAAGTACACAAAACGTTTAATGACTGAAGACTTTATTCACATCAAATACAATCCATTTCTGGAGGCTATGGAATAGAACAATGCATACCAAACGTGGTTGCATGAAATGAAAGTAAAGTAGAAGCATACTATGTTACATGACGTACGTAGATATGGTTTTACCCTTGTCCTGCTGGCATTTTTACACAATATTTTTAAATAATTTGAAGTCTTACTCAGGTCACAGACCCTTGACTTTTTATTGCTCTGTAGTAGCGTAGTTACTTTCGCATTTTGTTGCGGTGTGAAGCGTTGCAGAAATACCTTCAAATTGTACAGAAACAGGGCGCTATAAAGATGGTACTGTATGTGGAACTCAATGGGCTCCGCAGGACAAAGGTTTAATAAGATTCAGCAACAAGTTGATATTATATATGTACAAGAAGTGCAGTTGGTAACATTCGACTGTGCCCCCACTTCGAACTTTGTCTGCCAGGACACGTATTGATAGTACTACTGAAGCAAACCATTCTTTACTCCATACTCCATCTTTCAGGAGAACGTTTCACACAGAAAGATTTCGTTTTAGAACTGCATCACTATGAAACAAACTTCCTTCTAAATGCTTCGCAAATGATGCAACCTTAAACTTTTTAAAGTGAAAGGTAAACAAGCATCTGTTTTCACACTTTTCCCTAGTAACCCAAAACATGTAAGTTGCTCGTACATATGACTCTTGTTTTGTGGTGAAAATTAAAGCAAAGAAAAACTAAATCTATCTCCTTAACTCTCAACAGTACACCTTCCCAGACTGATTAATCTGTACACCTGGGGTCCGCGCGGACCCCAGAGCAGTTTTTTGCTAATTTTTAGAAATTATCAACATGCTAATAGCTCAATTGTTTTGCAAACTGACGTGGGAACCTCTGTGTCCACATTACAAACAAATATCATACATTTTGAACTTTTTCTATTTTTTGGTGAAGAAAAGAAGACAAGAAGAAATACTCGATTTTTTAAACCCATTTCAGACTGAAGGGGCTTTTGAGGCCCAACTTTGATCTCAGATAGCGGCTAAACGGCTTGCGCTAGAAGTATCAAATTTGGAGACCTTTCCTAAAATATCTCTGAAAAAAACTTCATATTAGTTTAATACTTGTAAGTTGATGTTTTTTTGTGTTGCCATGGCAACGGGTTTCTAGCAGGCAGTTTTTTTGAAAATAGAAGTAATTTTGGTTTAAACATAAAATTTTTCTGAGTTTTTTATTAAATTACACTTCTTTTCCAACATTAATGACATCTTACATAATTAAATATAAGTTAAATCATTTAATATGCATAGAATATGCTAATTTGATGACGTCATTGGTCAAAATCCAATATGGCGGACTATATTATTAGCTCTGACGTCATATGACGTCATAATTACACCAAAGTTATTAAAATTTAATTCTATTACTACACCATTCTCTGAAAACTTGGTAGACATAAGATGAGTGCATAAAAACATATAAAAACGGAAATAAGGTAATGTATAAGAACGCCAATGTATCCTATTATGATACGAAAGCCGGCGTGGGGTCCGCGCGGACCCCAAAAGAAAATCAGATATAATTTTTTTATAAATGGTAGAAACGGAGTTTTCTGCACTGTATTGAAAGACAACTTTGTGGGTGACAATTACCTAAAATTTCATAAAAAAATCTTTAGAAACAAAAAAGATACTACAGAATGTGTACTGTTTAGGGTTAATCAAATATGTTAACCCATTTTCAAAACACACGTTGAGTCACATGCACAAGAACTACACAGTTCTGACTGCATTTTCCAAATACGGTATTCCATTCCAAATTTAAAACTCACTGTCTTACTCTCAACATCATATTTGTTTCTATTTTGATCATAATCATTTTAATTGACTGAACTTTAATTAAATTACAAGTGTTTTTACATATAATTCAATCCATGAGCAACTTATTTTCAAAGACGAACTTGATATTTATGTGTGTAAACATAAAGAGTGTTGGAATAACACTTGAAAAGTTTGACTTTTTAATTCTTATCCAGTTGAAAAGTCTAAAACACTACTTAAATAATTCAGTTTCAACCCTGGATGACTAATCTTCAGTAACTTGATTCATAATACGCCATATACATTCAATATTTAAATTTGACTCATCTGGTATCATTTCAATCTGATGAATTGTAATTATAAATCTTTAGGATCATAACTGCAATCGGT